GAGCGGCCACTGCACTCCAGTCTGGGCGACAGAGTGAGACTCCAACTCACAAAAAAAAATTTTTTTTTATTTTTATATTTTAGGGACAGAGTCTTACTATGTTGCCCAGGTTGGCCTTGAACTCCTGGGTTCAAGTAATCCTCCCGCCTCAGTCTGCTAAGTAGCTGGGACTACAGGCAGGCAATGGATCAGTCATGGGACATTTTCTTTTCTTTTCTTTTCTTTTTTTTTAGTTGGAGTCTCACTCTGTCACCCAGGCTGGAGTGCAATGGCACACTCACAGCTACCACAGCCTTGACCTGCTGGGCTCCTGTGATCCTTCAGCCTCAGTCTTCCAAGTAGCCAGAACTACAGATGCGTGCTACCACGCCTAGCTTACATTTTCAATAATATAATGCTAAACAGAAATACTTAAGGAACTACAAACAGTGACATTCACCTAAAATGTTTCATTCACTTTGGCCAAGAACATTAGCTATTGTTTAATAAGCATCTGTGTGGTTTTAACTAACCCAACTCCCTCAGTTTCCCTCCAAAAATCAAACATTAAAAATGAACATATGGTCAGTGATTATTATTTCAAATCACAGAAAACAGCCCTTTTGTAACATCACCAACCATTCCAGAGCACAAGTCCCTCTCCCCCCACAGCCCACCACAAGCCCTTTTTAGCCAGGAAGCCCCAGACTCACTAGGCACACTGCAAGGACGTACACCTTTACCCCTTATCCAGGAAAGTTCTTTCAGGAAAAGTCACCACTGCACTTTTACTCAACAGTGAATTCTTATGACTGACATTCCGGAAACTGATGAAGGAAGCAATGAGCAAGTGGAACCAACACACATACCTGGGACAGGCAGAAAGCATGGAACATGCAACACCAGCTGGCATAGCTGCACTCAGAGTAGTTCCATGGGTTTGGGGGCAGCCATGAGAGCAAGGAACACACAACAGAGCACAAGTTCAACCTTCCTAAGTTTGACTGCTCTCAAAGAACCCCCCAAAACATTCATTCACCAATGGGACCTAACCTTTTTGGGGTGTCAGGCTCCAAATGAGAATGTGTTGAAAGTTCTGGAAATGACTGGGTGCAGTTACTCACGACTGTAATTCCAACACTTTGGAAAGGCCGCGGCAGGAAGACCACTTGAGCCCAGGAGATCAAGACCAGCCTGGGCAACATGGCGAGACCTCGCTTTACAAAAAATAAAAAAATTAGCTGGGTATGGTGGCACCTATAGTTCAAGGTATATGGGAGGCTGAGGTGGGAGGACTGCGTGAACCCTGGAGTTCAAGGCTACTGTGAGCTGTGATCGTGCCACTATACTACAGCCTGGGCAACAAAGCCAGACCCTCTCTC